ATTTGCTTACTCAGATCTGATTGCAGGACTGAGGCAATGAACAGGATGGGCGGGGTCAATTTGCATCATTATACCACAGCATCCTAATTCATATCCACAACAGGGAAGTTAAGTTTCATTCAGATCACAGCTAGTGGAATTTCACCACCAGTAAGGCGATTTCAGGCAGTTTTGTTTAATTTTGCTCCCTCATTAGAGCAACTTGGCAAAAATGAAAGTTGGCCTTGGGACCTGAAGCTTTTTTGGAAATACTAGTAATGTACTGATAAAAAAAAATCAGTAACTTTATGGTTGTAAATTATTAACTAAAAATATTATAAAGATTGTCTGTCAATTTAGTACAGAATCATTGGAGAATTGACTAAAGTGCCTGCCTATTTAAAACAGAGCAATATCCCTTAGTATATGTTAGTTAGATTGAAAATTTCCTCAGTTATTCACACTTTGGCCCCAATCCTTCCACAAGAATTGTGCAGGAAAATCGCTGCACCCACACAGAACCACGCTGATCTCAGTGGGGTTGCCCAGAGGTTCAGGGATGTACCAGCACGATTCTCTTTGCGGGACAGGGACCTTAGACAAAGTGAGACTACCTACATAAGTAGAGTTAAGCATGTATATAAGTGTTTGCAGGATCAGAGCCTTATTCACTGCTCTGCATTCATCAGTACATGTGGATAGTCAAGTTCACTATACTGTGTCCACCAAACAACTAGCTCTGTTTATTCCCTTCAAGACACAGCAATGTGTAAAAATGGTAGTTTTAGGATAAGTTACCATGAAAGTGATTGGGTAAAATGCTGTCACTGAATATTTGGTAAGAATTTGCATACATTTATTGACACCATGTAAAGTATAAAATACTTTACAAAACAAATTCCAAATCACTTTTTTCATTTATCAGGCACAACATAAAACTGAGCAAAAATGTAAAACTAAAATCAATAATGGCTAAAAGGCATCATGGCCCAAAACAAATTTCTAGGATCAGGGTGTAAACTATTTTAAAATACACAGAGAGAAAAGATACACATGCATACTCTACAACAGGATAAATAAACAACCTCTCTCAGGAAGTCACAAAGCATCTTTAGCCTTACAGAAAGATTGCCACATTTTTAAGAATAGTTCTAATTTGATTTTAATTTAGAAGTGCCAAAATGGTCAAAAACACTTCAACAAAAGCCCAAGATGAGTCCCCAATGCTGCCTGCCTCATTGAACATTTGTAATCAGCCATACTAGTGAATGAAAGCAGTATATAGCATAGGTGTAGATAACAGATATCCTAATACAGCAGCAATAACCTTCTGATCTGCTCATCCCACCTAAAAATCTCAGGAGAAGCTTGCAACAGTGCACAGAACAGAATAAAAAATGGAGGTTTAAAACTTACAATTCTAGATACATTTTCTCTGAACTCTCAGATGCATCTTCAATTAAGATGTATTTATTTTGGAAAAGTAAATCATTATTAGTGTTAGCAACAGCAGCATCACTGCTGTTACTCCCGCTTGCACTGAATTGTCCTCTCAGCTACCACTCAGCACAGCCCTGCTGCTTGCTTAGCTCCCAACTAGGAACAGGAAGAGCCACGGGCAGCTTTGATTTCACTCACCTGAGGCAGGTCTGGAGTTTCCTGGAACAAAGCCAAAGCAGAGCAGCTCTTTACCCAGAAGCAGGGAAATCACTAGGGAGGAGAACAAAAGCAGCAGGATCCCCCTGGCACTCCACTTTGAACATGCTGACTGCCCTCTAACCACATGATGGCTCACAGCTGGCAGAGACATGAGCTGGAGGAAGAGAGAGCTACAGCTAGGGGAGATTATAGTCAGTGTAAAGTCATAGAGCTTTGTGGGGACCTCTAATGGACTGTGTTGGGAGCTGAGAGTTGTTTTCTGATTATTTACTTTAGCAGTAGTTGCTGGTTAAGACTGTATAGAGGCATCATTTGATATTAAAAATACATATTGAAAATATTTAATTTAAATGTGGATTTTTAAGCAATCAGTGCCTTAGGCCCTAATCCTGCAACAAACTCTAGGTAGACAGACTTCTGTACCCATGAGTTACTCACTGCAGGACTGGGGCCTTTACTAGTAAAATTCCCAGTGCAGGGAAACCCTAAGAATGTCTAGAACAAACAGGTGGAACCAGCAGTGACAGTGCGGTTAATACTATGGTGATACCCTTAGCACCTAACAATACAGCCTGCACAAAAATAGAACATAAGAGGAAACTACACTGCCTGGTTTAGTTATTGAACACTCAGGGTCAGAGCAACTATTAGGCCTAGTGCCCTCAGTATGGGTATATATTATGTACAGTAGGTAGAAACATCATCTCACACACCTGAAGACTGAGTAGCAGATGGGCATCTAGTCCAGGAACTGAAAACAGCCAGTTCACACCAAGAGAGACCTGCCCACTCCAGCTGTGGGCAAGTGAGGTGTCCCTACTCTTCTTTTAGCAGCTGGGTACAGGGACCTTGGCTGATCCCTCTTTTCAGATAGCTGTGAAGAAAGTATCATACCACTGACACTTAGAAATGTGGTTGTGGTGGGGTCTGGCCACCACTGCTGGTTGGCTGGTTGAGGGTCCTTATTCCCTGAAGCAGTGGGCCTTCTAGGAAAGCACTACCCCTAACACACCAGCAGGGGACGCTCTACATAGAGATTATTGCCACTTCCACCACAGCTGAGGGCTCTGTTAGGGTAGTAGGGAGATAGCAGGGGTGAAGGCCCTACACACAGGGTGCTCTGCTGGGAAGGCAGGACACTCCCTCCACACAGAGCTCTATGTCATGAGGATGGGTGGGGTGGGGTAGTGTCAATGGGCCTCGTCCTTCATATACAAGAGCCTGCTGAGGGGCAGCAGTCAAGGAGCTCATGGTTGCTCAGGTTCTGTCTGGCTGGGGACTTCCATCTTTAGCCAGCTGCTCCCTGTCTTCAGGCAGGATGGGTTCTGATTTGGAAGGAATGAGAATCTGTCTCTCTTTCCAGGAGCTGTATAGTAGAGAGTGCAGTGGGGATCTTTGACTTAGCCTCCCAATAATATATACAGTTAATCGGGTGATTGGTGGAAAGAAGCAGAAATTAACAGTGTACTTATTTTTATAATGTAAAGGTTGCCACAAATGAGAAGCGTACAATTGCCTAGACAGAATATAAATAGAGAATGATCAAAATAGCCATTAATTGCCTCTGGGAAAATGTCACCTACTCCATCCTCCAGAAGACATTGAGGAGTTTGCATACTGAACAAAACTGACACAATAAAAAACAATTCATTATGGGTTCTGCTTCTTCTTTTCTGCCTCTGCCCAATATGGCTTGAGGGGAAGCAACTGAGACCCTCTAGCCCTGGCACCTGCTGGGGTCAAGGGGGGATTGGAGATCTGCAGCATTTCATGC